TGTGAGCACACAGGTGCCACCAATGCCGGCCGAAGAAGAGCAGTCAGATCAGTGCAGAAAAGCCAAGGCCGGCACAGCGCAGCAGGACCCAGTGCTAGCATCGGCGCAGCAACGGCACTGCTGCAGCACCTTAACGTAGAGCCAAATCTCGGGCTTGAAGTCCGCCACCGTGGCATTATTCCAATGCTGCAGGGTTGTGTTGAGGATGTCCCTGAGCATGGTGTCTATTTGCCCGCCAGCATTCGTGTCTTCCCGAAAAAGGTTGAGCACAATGTCGAGGATGGGCAGCTTGCTGCCGGCTGCCGCCTTCGTGCCGCCGCTGTTGCCGCCAGCCGCCGGCGTGGGCGCAGAAGCGCCATCTGGCTTGGTCTGCCCCTGCCCTGGGCTCCGCGCTGCACAATGCCATGCGGAGGCCAGTAGCAGCGCCAGCAGGGCCAGCGTCGGCCGCTGGTTGCTCGGCTCCATGGCGTGGGCGCTGCTGGCTGCAGCCTGGGTGGTGTCAACGTCCCCGACGAGAGTAGACACGCGGGTGAGTTATTCGACTGTACTTCGCGCTGGAGTATAATGCGTGCCACGCGGCAAGTGGAGCCGTTTCGCCTCCCCTTGCGGTTCGCCTCCAATTGCACCCTCTGCCGAAAAACTGCTGCACGCTGGCCATCACGCGGCACCCGTCCACCCAATCATCCATGACGTCGCCCAGCCCCGTCTGCGAGGCCACGCTTTTGGCCCCCGACTTTGCGCGGCTGGATGACCACCGCGCGCCGTTGTGCACTCCCACCCTGCGTGCCCTGGGCGGCGATCACCTGGCTGTCGGCACCCACTCGCTGAGCAGTCCGCACATCGCCAGCCCGGCGCTGGCCGGCTGGACGCCCCGGTTGACGGGCAAGGATGAGGATGCAGAGGAGGGTGGTGGGGGCGGCCCCAGGTGCGAGGCCGGGGTGCGACTGATGCGTTGACCGGAGCTTTGACCGCAGTGCCGCTGCTGGGGTCCTTTCGAGCAAAGCACCCTTAATTCTGCTGTCGCGTCGCTGCTGCTGCAGGCTGAGATCAATCGAGCGCGCGTCACTGGCAGCCGCCACCGCTGCCCCTTCTCTGGCGCTGCCCATCGAGCCGGTGCCGCTGCCGCCCCTCCTCCAAAGCAACTTCCTGTCTGTCAGCTTGCCCACCAACGTTAGCGAGTTTGCAGGTGTGGCAGACTTCAACCAGACCCAGGCAGGCAGCAACAGGTGCGCGGGGCCATTGCTTGCATGGCAGGTGGGCCAGGCTTGGAACGAGTCAGCCGAGTTTGGTTCAGGCAAGATAGCAGTTTGTGGGGGGGGCAATGGATTTAACCCCTGTACGCAGCAGTGTGTAGGCTCGAATCCCAGCACTTAACTTCAGCTCATGTAAACCGCTGGTACCTTGCTCCTGTGCACCTGTGCAGTGATGCACCTGTCGGCGTTTGCGGAATGCCACAGTTACTGGTCAAGGCGGAGCCCACAACCTCGGCAGGCAGTGAGAGCGCTGGCACATGCCAGCTGCCAGCAGCGGGCATGCTCAATAGCAGCGGCGGCAAGCACCCTACTTATGCTACACTGACCGCAGATGGGGTGGCTGCTGCCCTGGCCATGAGCAGCGACATCATGCAGCAGCGTGACCAGGAGCTGGAGCAGCAGCAGCAGTTTGGCACCCACAATTGCAGCAGCAACGGCAACGGCAGCAGGCCTGGCACCGCCAGTGCTTCTGCAGTGGCTGCAGCGGCAGCAGATGAGCTATCGGACAATCGCCTCTCACTCGAGTTTCTGGAGGAAAATGGCTATTTTGACATGCCAATTCAGGTGCGAGTCAGGGCAGGAGGCATGCAGGGATTGATGCCAGATGGAGACAGCAAAGACAACGGCAACCTGGTCAGCAATCATGCAACCCGGCCGCACTCCCCGACCATCTAATCGCACAACATTTGTTGCGTACTTGCCCTGGCCTCTCATGTTGCATGCAGCAAGCCGCGGCAGAGCTGCACGTGGGCGTGACAACCCTGAAGAAGGTCTGCCGCGTGAACAACATTGGACGCTGGCCATTTCGCAAGCGCTCCTCACTCAACCGCCTGATAGAAAAGACGCGCGAGTACTTTGCTGGCGACTCGCAGCAATGCGCCGAGGCGCTTGCGCAGCTGGAGGCGCAGCGCAGCGTGCTGCAGGTGAGTGAACGAGAGCACTAATGCCTGGCGCCATCTTCATTGTGCAGGGCTCTTGAGCTCCCGCCAGCGCATGCTTCTGTGTGGCTGCTGTGGCAGGCATGTGCCATCCACATTGCAGCGAGAGGATTTTTGCCTGGCCCACTTGACTTTGCCTAACCCACTTGAGTATGCCGGCCCACTTGCTACTTGGCCGCGCCCCTCTTCTTGCAGGCGCAGCAGGGGGAGGACATCCCAGAAAGTGTCAAGCGCTACCGGCAGTCCATCTTCAAGCTCGATTACAAGGTCAAGTGTGCGAAACGCAGCGGCAGGTGGCGACAGGCGGTTGAGCATGGCAGCGGTGGCACTGTCGAGCTGTTGAGTGCGCTGGGCCTGCCTCTCCAGCCCCCATCACTCTCACCCGGGCACAATTAGGTTTGGTCAGCCTTTGGAGCCTGGCCTGGCTGTCGAGCTCGATGTTTGCTTCGTGAGAAAACAGTCTTCAGTCAGTGAAACCCCGTCACCATTTCCTTGCCTCCTGAGGAACTGGCATGCTCAACCGCCTTGTTCACAGCTCAATTGATGCGCAAAGACGCAGCACAACGATGCAAATGTAGCAGCTGTCTTCCTTCCCGTAACGTCATCCACCATGGTCTCTGCTGCGGCTCCGCTGCCTATCCTTGCCGCACTCCTGCCGCTGCCACCGCTCCCTGCTGCGTGACCGCTGCCGTTCGACACTTCGGCGGCGCTCTTTGCTGCGCGACTTCCGATGATGATGCTGCCGGCTGCGCTCAGGCCGTTGCTCGCGATGCGGCTTCTTCTGCCTCTTCATCGTAGCCTCCTCTCGCTGCCTATCCCTGTTACGTGATTGACGCTGCAGCTCTCTATCCGCCACCTGGAATAACACACCAGAAATGCTTTTTAGGCAATTGAAGGGAAGCACTCCTGAAGCTCATGCGCATGCGCCCCTCCCCTCCTTTCCATGTTGGCCAATGCTGCGGCAAGGTGCTCAGTGCTTGTAAGCCCACCTGTACTAGCTGCTCCTGCTCATCTCCAAGCAGTAGGCTGTACCTACCACGCCTCCCGCCACGCTCTTGGCTGCTCATGGGCAGGTAGCGGTCCTTGAGCTCAAACCTCCCCGAAGGCCCTGCAGCGAGAGATGCAGGGACAGGGGCACAGGCGCTGCACAGGCGCTGGGTAGGGGCACAGGGTTTGCTCAGCATACACCCAAGATAAAACTCGATTAAGGATGGCACAAAAATCGCGCACAGGCCGGACCCAGGCTACATGCGCCCCTGCTAGGCTTTGGGCCCCACCCGCATCCGCCTGCTGACGCTGGTGTGTGTCTGCCTCTGATGCTAGATCCACGTTGCCTTTGCGCCCAAAGCGCTTGAACTGCTTCCACAGGTGGCTCACGCTCTGGGAGAAGTCCACCTTGATGCGCCGGTCGTCGATGAGCACGTTGTTCATCTTGAAGTACGCCTGCTTTAGCATCAGCAAGGGCACATTAAATGCATTGTGTGCAGACGAGGAGAATGGCAGGTCATGAATGCAATCATACCTGCTCGCATGACTCCTCACTGTCAAACCCAATGAAGCCATAATTGAGGCTGTCGCCCGTCTTCCAGTCCCTGCAGATTGCATGGCAGTGGGGTGTCTCATGGCATCATCTCTGGGTGTGCTGTGCACGTCTGGAACACTTGGAACCATGTGAACTAGCATGCACTGGCTGTGCTGGCCGCCCTCACAGCCAGATTCACTCACAATTCACCAATCACAGAAGTGGGCAAGCGGGAAGAAGAGCGATGGAGTCGTGCCCATGCCACGCTTCACCTGATGATGTCGCAGGAGGTAATAGTGCCGAAGCGGGAGAAAATAATCTCCAGGTCCTCCTCGGTGGTCACCGGGTTGAGCTTGCAGATGAACAACATGTTGGGCGGCGGCTTGGCGTCGGCCTCTGGCAGGTCCCCAATCATCTCCAGCACAACCGCGCGGTTGTGTGCCTCCTTCTCCCTGAAGCCACAGAGCCAGGCAGCATCTGTGAGCGAGGGTGGATAACCTTCTCACGATGCAAGCTAAAGTCTCCCCAAAAGCACACCAACCCCTGACTATCTACCTGTTGGCCCTCTCGATCTCATCCAGGTCCCGCGTCTCCTCTTCAGGCACCCAGTCATCCTCCAATCGCCCATCGTCGGCAAACTACAGACTAGACAGGCAGTCAAACCGTTCATTTGAACCAGCTGTGGTACCACACGCCACTAGTTGATTGGTGCTCTGAGTGCAAAGCCTGAACTATCTGAGCCGCCAACATGCTGCCAGCTGTCTGTCACCAACGCACACCTGGGGCTGCGGCGAGGCATCGGGAATGTGTTGTTCCAAGCCGCGCGGGTCTGGCATGGGGTCATCCAAGATGATGGTGTGCCGGATGCGGATGTTTTGCAGCGGGCGTCCATCATCGTCGCAGGGCGCCGTGTCAACGGCCTCCAGCACGTCCAGACCCTCGGCAACCTCGCCAAAGATGGTGTGCTGCAGCAGATACCTGGGAGCTGATTGGAATGAGAGAAGGCAGCACGAGCATGGAATGCTGGTGCTGACGGTGCGAGCATGGACTTTGGACTGCTGACGGCCACCGCACCTTTCCGTCCAGGCTGTGCAGGTCCTCGCCAGTGGTAATGTAGAACTGGGATCCGTTCATGTCCTTGCCAGCACCTGCATAGCATGTGCGGAGGTTGAAAACAGTAACATGTTTAAGGGCCCAGAGAGCGCAGCCAGGGCACTGTTACCATAGCATCCCACTCACCCGCCATGCCCAGCAGGCCCCTCTTCATGTGCTTCAGGTTGGGGTGAATCTCATCCTCAAAAAAACGCGCCTGCAGTGTGGAGGCACCAGGCCCAATTGTGTGGAGGTCTCTGTGCCGCATCAGCAACTACCAAAGAACAGGTCCCTGCAAAATCACACCTGCTCGCCATAGAGCACGCCCCAAACGGACTCGCCGCCCTTGCCGGTGTTGGTGGGGTCACCGCTCTGCGCGATAAAGTTGCGCTGCACGTTGTAAAACAGGCAGTTGTTGTAGTACTTGATCTTGCACAGCCTGTGAGTTGAGTAAAGGGAAGAAGTGACCAAGGAGATTATTTTGTCGCGCCAAAGCTGCACTGTGACACACACCCAAAAATGGTAATATGAGTGTTCTGCACGGGGTGGGCCCAGGATAACGGTCTCACTTTAAAAAATTGGTGGCGGCCCTGGGGCACTCGTCCACGTACAGATCCAACACCAGGTCGCCCTTGCTGGTCTCGATGATGACGCTCATTCCACAACTGCACGCCCATTTACAGTGACACGTCAATGCAGAGTGTGTGTCGTGTCATGCAACACGAGCGGGCGAGCGGGCGACGTGAAGGTGGCCGCCAAGTTGCCACGTGCCCACCTGGGTTGCAGCTGCTCCGCGCGGCAACATATCTGGGCGGCGGCGGCTCACCTGCTGTAACGGCGGCAAAGGGTGGGCGTGCCAGAGGCCCTGGCTATGCTCAAACTTGTCGACTTTGCAGGCGATGCTGGCTGCTCGCCGGTTGTGCGCCGCGGCCCAGGTAGAGTGGTCGGGCTGAGAGGGCTCAACTGCAAGTCGCTGCTGCCGCTTGAATCAGGCTCCCGACAGCTGCTTAAGGGCGCTGAAGCGAATGATTGAGCCACGTTCGGCCTTCAGATCATTTGTGTTGAGGGGAGCAGGAGGACGTCAAACGAGCGCACCCTACCATGCTGACTGCTCCATTGAACATGTGCGCAATGTGCAGCCAGCATCATTGCCAGGCGGGCGCCAGGCGGGCAGGCGCCGACATGCTGCAACAGCCTGAAGCTTGTTTGTTTAGCCACGCGTTGTGAGGTAGCCAGCAATCTAATGTACAAATGCAATGAAAGAGCCTCGAACTGAGTGAAGTACTGCTGCTAGACTTGGACAATGCCGCCACGCTTGCCCTGGACGATGGCAGCACCATCGTAACCTGCCGCTGCATCGTCCTTCTTCTGTCCCCTCAAGCCCTTGCTACGGATCTGCTTCTTGTGGAACTGCACTCAGTGGGAGGCAGCATGCGGCAGTCAAGTGCTGAGTGCTGTCGCTGCTACACGAGCAGGTAAAGAGGTGTGGACCGCCTGATCGTGCACTTATGTTTTGCACACACCTTGTAAGCCGGCCTCGCTGCCTTGGCCCTCGTGCCGCCCATGTCCAAATCATCCATCAGCAGCAGATCTCCTTCGTCCAAGTCCAGCACCTCCCCAATGTCGCTGCTTGCCTCACCGCCGCCGGTTGCAGGTTCTCCTGCTGCACCACCTCTCTGCACCGTGTGGCTGCTGCTTGATGCAGGCGCATCCTCCCGCTGCTGGTGGTGCTGCTTCTGCTGCTCATCCTCCGCGGCATGCCTATCCGCCAAACCTCCTGCCGCTGCGGTGCTGCTGTTGGCCGCTGCTGCAGGTGCCTGCGCAGCACCCTGCTGCTGCCCACCCGCTGCACCATCTACCCTCGCCACCTCCTCCCTCGCTACAACACCTTGTTGTTCTTCGTCAACCAACGCCCCAGGCGGGGCCTTGAAGTACAATATTTTTCCATCCACGTAATCTTTCAGGATGCGGCGGCCCGCTCGCGTTTCGTCTGGCAGACCTGAGGCAGCCACCCAGCCACGTGCATAGGCAAATGCCCGCAGCAGCTCAATGGCAGTGGGCGGCCTGCATACAGCAAAGAACTGGCACCAGTTGGCAGCAACAAGCGGATCACATCCCTGATCCAGGAACACAAGTGGTACATGCCTGTGTGGGTCCTCCTGGTGCCCTGGCGGCGGGAGGCGCAGGCCGTACACACTCTCCAACTGGCGCCGCCCAACGCGCTGCGCCACCGCCTCCACCGGAGCACGCACGTCTGTGAGGCGGTCAATGGGGATGACACCTGCAGGCAGCAAATGGGTGTGCCAGCAGGTGCACGAGGTAGACTTGGCTGTATGCCATGCAACCGCAGCTGGAACTTTGCTCGTTTATCGTGATGCGTTTGCAGCAAGAGACGGACCTGCTGCCACCATTTCGGCTTTGCTATGTGCATACTGGGGCAGCACAAGCCCTGGGCAGTCGCACAGGCACAAATTGGCGGTGACGTTGAGTGTCTGCACAGCAGAACAGCGAGGTGGCATGCCAGAGGGCGATGGTGACATATGCAGCCTGTTGCTCGTCCATCCAGTGTGACTGACCATGTGATCCACCTCCACTAGTCAATCTAGGCTCAAATACCTGGAAGTGCTTGGTCTTGCCCGGTGTGGGCGCCACGGCGGTTTTCTTGGAGCCAAACAGCGCATTGATGGTGGATGACTTGCCAACGTTTGGGTAGCCAGTGAGGCCAACAACAAGCCGCTCGCCGCGGCTGGCCTGCAGAATCACAGCACATTCGCTTTGCCGCAAAGGTAGGTGGCGCATGGGAAGGGGGAGGTGGGCTGGCTGTGTGTAGGTATCAACGCTTTTCAGATCTTGAACACTGAGCAACCGAGGCCAGGGTTTACCAAGCTGCTCGCTGCCCCACTTCTGGCCACCCACCCGGCCGACGCCTTGTGCTTCCGCATCCTCTGCTGCCTGAGCCGCTCGCTGCACCAGCAGGTCCAGCAGGTCATCCACGCCCAGCACTCGGGCGCGCGTGTCTGTGCCGGGTCGCTGCCGCGCTTTGGCTGCTGCCTGCACATCCTCATCTGCATGCCACAGAGGCATTGAAAGCAAGAGGCACACATGGAATGTAGCCACATAGGTGACAGCCTGCAGGTGCTTGTTGCAATAATGACACATGCACACTCTCCGCGCACGTGCCACGCAACCACCCACCTGAGGAGTGCTCGTCCATACCCGCCTTGGCCGACCAAAACGCATAGTCCAGGTGCAGCCCATCAAAGTGGTCAGCCCACGCCGTGCGAAGCGCCGCTGGCAGCAGGTCGGCCTTGTTGAGGAGCAGCAACGAGCGCTTGGTGGGGTGCAGTTCCAGTGCGTAGCGCTCGAGGTCTTCGCTGTAGTAGGTCAGCGGGTCGCGCGCGTCCACAACCTGCATCAGGAGGGCAATACGATGTTGAGGCATGCCTCAATCCTGCTGTCGCCCCAACCCATCACCATCCGCTGCTCCAAGAGCAGCATCCACACCCTCCCGCACACCTGCACCACCACGTCGGAGCGCTCCAGCACACGCCACAGCTGCCGCCAGACCTCCAGGTTCTTCTCGCAGGGAGTCAGCACCAGCCGCTCATCCTGCTCCAGGGACGCCAGCTCTCGCCGCCACTGGTAGAAATGTGCGCGTTCCTGCAAGGTGGGCAGGGTGGCAAATGGTAAAAAGTGTGTGTCAACCAGTCTTGTGACACCCTCCTAGCGAGGGGCACAACAATGGCAGGTCAACGATATAAGGGAGCAGAGAGCCAACCCCACCTGCTCCTGTAACTGTTCTGAGGTGGTGGCTTCATCCCAGGACGGACGACGCGGGACGCGCAGTCTGCAAGCAGCAACAATCTCCTTCAGAATGCAAGCTGGGCAACCACCTGGCATGGAGAGACGTTTGAAAAAGGCATATCCTTCTACCTGTGTCGATTGCGCTCCTCTGCCGCTGCCCGCTCTGCAGCCAGCCGCTCCTGGTCGACGGTGGCCACGGCGCCAGTGCTGATCACGATGACGTGCTCTCGCTCGGCGGTGAAGTCTTTGCCAGCGAGCGATGCCTGATTAAGACAGGGAGGTGGGGCTCATTAGCGGGCGAAAAGCTAGTGCTGGGGGGCGGGGGAGCGTGCAGCGGCGGCGGCGGCGCACCATGGCCATCATCTCGTCAAGGTCGTTCGACTCGATCACGCTCTGCATGTTGGGCTTGCTGCCGCTCGCGGCGTCCGTGGTGTGCAGGTAGGCGGCCGCGCTGCCTGTCCGCCCGTCCTTCTTGGCGCGGTTCACCAGGGCGGAGCCCACGGCGAGCCCCGACTTGCGGGCCTTGCCGTTGTGCTTGCCCATGGCCCAAGTTGCTGCCAGAAGGAGGTTCGACAAACGAGGCCAGACGGCCGTGCGACAAACCTCGTTCCTGACCAGCAGAAGAAGAAGAATTTGACACGCGACGGGTGACTTGTATCAAGCACACATGCATGCATGTACTTGATCGTTGCGCCTGACATGTTCCGCCGCAGCGCTCTCAGCAGACGGTGGCTCGGTGCCAACCTGCCAAGTGGTGGCATGAGGCATTTCTGGCGACCTCTGCATCAGAATGTGATGCCGTGGCCAGAAGCTGGGCAGAGCAGCCGCAATTGCGCGCAAGGAGGATACGAGCTAGGATGATGTTAACAGCTTGAAAGCCAACTGGCGGACCTCGCACGAGGCCTGGGCACAGCTCGATACTGGCTTCACTGATGCTACTCATGGTTTTACAACAAACCACGAGGGGCAACAGTCATTAAATGCCAATGGCTCATTGCTCTGGGAAGCGGGGCCAATGATATGCAATTCCAACTCTAAATTATGTTGTTCCACAAATCGATCCACTGCAGCTGTCACCTGCTCATGCAGGGAAGTATGGATGGGTGGGCGCATACGGTGGGTGATTGTGGATGGGCGCACCTGTTGATACTGCGGATGGCGCACCTGTTGGTACTGCGGATCATAGTCGTGCCCACCAAACACACCTCCAGACCTTACCTGCAAGAGCGAAGTGTCAGGGTCCCATCACAAGACAAACGTACATGAAACACGAATCAAGTCCTGACCTTGCGCCACCAGTCTATGATGGTTTTGCCGTTCTCCTCGCCTGTGTGCGCGTAACCATCAATGTAAACAAAATCAAACATCTGCATATAGACAGTTAGATGCGGTTCATTGCCCAGTCTTCTTGGGTTCATTCGCCTTCTCGTGTCTGTTGCTGGTGAGGAGGATCACTGCTCACACCTCATCTGGAAATAGTGGCAATACATCATCGAAGCGACTCCATAGCGCGCATGAGCGGCTGCCATGTGGCTTCAGCAGTCCAAGGGCGCCATCTCGCTGTTCATCATTATGGCCACGGTCACCAGCCCACCTGGCAGATCAGTAGATAGCAGAGTAGAAATGATATCAATTTTCATATGCCAAAACTGCAAGACTCGCCCAGTCCTTACATGTCAACTGAGAAGAATCGGGAAAGCTTGGTGCGGGACAAAACATGGGCACTGAAGTTGCCGCTTGCGACACCGAGCTCTATCCCCCATCCATTGAAGTTATGGCCTGCTAAAGCATCCAACAATGCATAGCGGTCCCTGCATATCAACATTGAAGGAGGATAATGTCACACACAGACAGTCAACCGGAATGGTCTTTGACTTAAATGTGTGCAAACACCTGCAGCATCCGGTGAAACTGAACCGCCCGAGTGCTTGAGTGTCTGCGGGACCGGGAATGATCCAAGAGCTTCCAGTGAGAGTATCTGAAGCTGGAGCCTCTCCTTTGCACGCTAGCGGATAAAAGTCATAAAAAACACCGAGCGATTCCGTTGTAGTGGTGATTGTTGGAAAGCTTGAACCCAATTTCGTTAGCGTCAACCCCCAGGATACACCGAACGAGCTGTGCAGCAGCGATAATAACGTTGTGAGTAGTACTGCTCCGCAGGCGCACGCTGCAAGTTGAGACCTTCGTCCAGTGGTGTTAGATATCTTGACTACCTTGGCCATTTTGCAGAGGCCAACTATGGTAGGGACGCGCAGTGGTGTTGAGGTCCTCCGATAAGGCCGGCGGGTCCCAATTGTGATGCATCAGATGGCCAAGTTGCGAGTTGTTCATTTCCAAAACCACAAACCACCATGGCATCAACGCCCGTACCGCCGGACAGTTCCAATACATCTAACTGGGGTATGCAATGCTGGCGGCAGCCGCAAAAGCTGGCAGGGATGGCAACGTCACTTCCTTTAATGGGCTGAGGATCAGCCAAGGGTAAAGGGCGAGGATCAGCCAGGGAACGCAAGCCATTTACAAGTCTCAAAGGGAACACGGGCCCCCTCTTGCCTACTTCTCTGGGTGCTGCCCCTGACGTCATTCACATTTCAAATGCATGCGCATGTGGGGTCACTGGAGCAGAGGACAGCATGAGCACCATCTCTCATCCGTCTCTGTCATCCGGGTTTTTGCCATGTTTGCCATCTGATCTGAACGGGTTACTACTTTGCGAAGAAAGTCTGGGTCTCCGCTGCCTTTGCAGCTGCTGCTTTGCATTGCTATCCTTATCTCGGTGAATGCAATGACGGAACACAAGCATTTTGGGGGCATGTTGGACCAGCGTTGAAACACAGTTCCCCACTCTGCACCAAACAAAACGAAATGATCCCTGACTCCTACAAGCGGGGCAGGCGATGGGAGCTGCGGCTGCCTGAGGATTACAGCATCGTCCAGCAAAAAAAACTAACGAGGAGCAAACTGTGGGCGTGGCGCAAAGGGTGCGCACGTTGGGGAGGTTGCTTTACCGTCTGGGTGCAGCAGGTTGCGGTGCTTCCAACACCCTTGCTGCTGCTTCACCAACCTCCCAGCCATTGAAAGCAAGAGGCAGGCACTGTATGTAGCCACATTGACAGCCTGCGCAAAAGCACCTGGCCCATTGGCGCAGAACATCCTTCTGGACAGCCCGCGCAGAGACCAAACGTTGCTTGATCATCAGTGCGTCATCTTTCAGTCAATGTGTGGATTAGAGCATAATGAGGAGTGCCACCCCGCCCAGGGCAACAAGTGGGTAGTGCATGTTGCTGGTGTCTTGTGGATTAAAATTTTGTTATTGTTTCGAAACCAAAGCTGCTGTTGCTGTGGACAAGGCCTCGATCTGCAGGCGCCTGAAGGCGCTGGCGTTGTCTCGCAGGACGGTGGGTGCATGTGCCGATTGTGGCTGCGGCAGCACATGTGGTTTTGGAAGCGGGAGGGGCATGCCGGTAGCACCCGCCCGCTTGCGGCACCACTGCAGCATCTACCGGTATGATGTTGCCTCAGAAAGCTGCTGCTTGGATGACAACTCAACAAAGCTGTGTGATGATGACTGAGCAAGCGTGCCTGCATGCCTGCACGACGTACTCGGTGTGCGAGATCACAAGGTGCATCATCCTGCAAACAAAATCGCAGGCAGGCAGGCAGGACAGCGACAGCGGCAGGCACAAACGAGAAAGAAGGCGTGGTAAACCTCGAGAGAAATGCATCAGCTGCTGCTCATCATCCTGCGAGTACGCAGCATGACTGGCAGTCGGTTGCTCGCATGGAGGCGCACGGGGCGCACACCGCTGCCAGCCGGAGGCAACTAACGTGCACCCTGCAACACAATCCAGCTTGGCTCTGCCCATTTGTTTTGGTAGCTCTTCAGATAAGCAATTACGATTCCACTCTGCCCCGTGCTCCTTGCCCTGAAGAAGAAATGCAAACACAAGCAGAGTTTCTGTCACTTGGCAAAGCATGGCTGAAGAAAAAACAGACATGGAGGCGTGCGGACCTCCATCGAGGCACTGGTGTCGATCTGGAGCTCTGCCCAGCTTCCTGCGTCCTGCCCTATCCAACCCCACTTGTCACTTGCGCGCCTTCCCTCTGGCCGCTCATTTCTCCAGTTAAAGCCGTGATGCTGTACAACTGCCTGTTCGAATTCCAGCTGCAGCAGGCATGTTGAATTGCGGTGCTGGTAGTTGCCGGGCGTCATGGGCGGCAACAAAGGTTCCTGCGTCGTGGAGGAGGGCAAAACCATGTTGCGTGCGCACACAACAGTGACCTGCATGCATGATTCCTGACATCCATTATCCTGCATGCACCAACATCTTTTCAAGGTATCAACATGCAATCAGTGTTTGATGCATGAGAGACTAACCTAAGGTGCCACCACCAAAGCCAGAATTTTTCAGGATGTGGGCAGCATCAGGAGACACGTCTTTAAGGAAGTCCCAGAAACGCGTGGCATAGCCTTTTCCTGAAGGAGCGGAACAAGAACGAGGTGGGCAGTTGCAGGGGTGGCACACATGCACAGCCCCTGCGCCACCAGTGACCGAGGCCCCCAGGTGCACCACCGTCAGTGGCTGGCCTGCAGCAGACAGATAGGGCCTGAGATAAAGGGCAGTGCAGTAGGGCAGCCAATTCTGATCAGTGAAAGGAAACTGCAACTACATAGGGACATGGCAAGACACCTAACAGCAGCTTGTGAGTGAAGCGTCGACATGCGGGAAGGGTCCCCCATGCTGTACAGGCCCCGCCGAATGGCCCGCGGCGGTAAGTGTGATGTGTATTTCCATAAACGCTCTACAATTTTCGAATCATACTGCACGCACGTTAAACTTCGCATCAGTGGCTTACTTTGCTTTGAGGAACCTTGGACACAACTTCCTCAGTATTCTCCCACCTGATCCAAGCCCATGGGCGGCCCCGGACTGCCATCTAGTCCTGGTAATCTAATCCTTTCATCTAATCCGCCATGCTCAGCAACCTTGTCTCGCCGCTCCGCAGTACTCAGAGCGCAACGGGAAATCTGTGCTTCGTGACTTGCTGTGCTATGGAGGGAATGAATTAGTGTGGCAGTGCGCCAGGAGGAAGAGCAGCAACGCCACTGATAGAAGGGCAGCATAACGTCGAGGCTGCCTAGCCGCGGGCCCGTGTCGTCCTGCTAGTTTGGCCATGGCACTATTAGTGAGAGTCTCTCACTAATAGTGAGAGTGAGGAATGAAAACCGCTGCCGTACACATTGTCCAGCTGCGAGTATAGTCATTTCAGCGCCTCACACAAATTGAAATCACAAATCCGTCTCGATCTGAGTGAGAGGGCTCGGGATGAGGAGATGGCTGCAGCACCAGCCCAGGCTCCCTCCCTCCTGTAGCCCAACCTACAGCAGCTGCATGCTCAGAGTACCAGCGCAACACCGCATCTCGCGGCGCTTGCCTCCCCAGCTCATCGGCGGCGGCTGGCGGCAGCCGACGCCCCCCTTGCGGCGCACTCGTGTAGTCGCCAGCAGCGACCGGCAGGTGCCCGCAGCGGCCAGCAGCAACAGCCAAAGCGACGATGAGCAGCAGGCCAAGCCGGGCCTCTTTGTCAACATCCTCAAGCCGTTGCGCGACTTTGGCATCGGCCGCACGAGCATGGTGCAGGGCAGCGTCGGGCTGTTTGTGTTCTCAGGCATAGGTGCGTATGCTGTTGACAGTCATTGCTGAAAGCCACCCTGCATGTGTCGCAACATGTCCTCTGTTATCACTGCAGGATTCGCGCTCATGCTGATCGCGTGGGCACGTGGCGGGCAGCTGGGCAGGCGCGGCCAGGTGATGCCGGTGTGCCTGATTTTCAGTGCATGCCCAATCAAGTTTAGCTGCTGACTAGGAGGGGGGTGATTGGCAGCCATCCTTTGGGTGCGCAATCTCCCTGCCTCAACTGGCACTGTAATGCTGCCAGCAGGGCTACCAGGCAATCCTGGAGTTCCCTGTGGCGTGTGGCATCACGGTGGGCACGCCCGTGCGCATCCGTGGCGTGCCGGTAGGCGGCGTGCTGTCGGTGCAGCCCAGCCTTGAGAAGGTGGGTGCTATTGACTGCCGTGCAAGCAAGCCTGGTGTTCAATCGAGCCTTTTGACATAGGGTCTGCAACGCAGCTGAGGATGCGCTTGCCTCTGTTGACGCATTCAAGCAGGTGGATGTGCTGGTAGAGATGAAGGACTCCACCACCGTCATCCCCCGCAACTCGCTCATCGAGGCCAACCAAAGCGGGCTGATTGCAGAGCCGCTGATTGACATCACGCCGCAGACACCCGTGCCGCAGTATCAGGGTGAGCATGCATCTGTAGTGAGCGAGTGGCTGGAGCGAGTCCAGTAGCATAGTCACTTGAAAAGCGACAATAATTTGTTGGCATGTTGTTTCTGTGCAGCCAACCCACTTGACGAGGACTGCGAGAAAGAGGGGCTGGTCGTGTGCCACCAGGGGCGCATCCGTGGCGAGCGAGGTGCGTCAACCGACTCGGAACCAGCTCAACTGCTGGCAAAGCACTACAATCACCAAAGACCATTGTTGCTGCAGGCGTGGCGCTGGACGACCTGGTCTACCTGTGCACCAAGATTGCGAGGCAGATGGACACCCAGGGCGTGGACCGCGTGTTTGAGGCGATGGAGTCGGCCAGGGCAGCCATAGAGGATGCCAAGCCGCTGCTGTCACAAGCGGTCAAGCTGAGCGACGAGGTTGGTGGATGGCATGTGTGTTTCTGGCATGTGTGTTTCTGGCATGTCGTGCCTGCCCCTCCGTGCCACTGGCCTTGCTGCCATGCCATGCAGATCCTTCCGCTGCTGACTGAGCTGCGGGCCGGCAATCTGGTTGGGAACGTGGAGGCCCTGACCCAGGTGTGTTCTATGTTGCGCTCAATTCCAAGCTATTGTTGGACTGCCTGGAAGAGAGCGTCTGTTGCAGGCCTTGACGGGCTTCCTAGCACTCTTGACGTTGCTGCAGGTGGCAGCGGAGGCCGCGGCAGACATTCAGCGGCTGCAGACCGAGGTGCTCACGGAGAATAATGTCAAGGCGCTGCGGGAGAGCGTGCAGACGCTGACCAAGACGTTGCACCACATTGAGCGCATCACGGGTGAGGCGGGGTCTTCTGGTCCAATGTTGGTGCGGCTGACCTGCCTCATCACCACATCATCCTGCCGGTGCAGGGGACCTGGGCGGGCTGACGGGCGATACGCGCGTCACAAACCACCTCAAGCAGCTCATCGAGGCATTGAGCCGCATAGTGGTGGACTGAATGGGTCTCGTCGCGGTTTATGGGTACTCCACTCTGCCGGGCCTCCGCTCGCCCTCCTTGTAAATGATCGCAATCGCTTTAACGCAGGGGTGGTGAGCTTTTATGAGCTCGGAGCGGAGAGGCGGGGTACAATTTCAGTACAGCTGGAGGCTATATCGCGTTGAAACCCGTTCTACGGGATCTAGCAAGCAGTCAAACTTCGCCAGTCACTCGCACCGGCCCGAAGGCAGCGGTGCACTGGACGAGTGGCCTGGGGTACTACCGCTGGAGGCCGCGAGGAGACAATGGTGAACTAGGAGCGTGCAGAACGCATGCTGGCAGCGTACGCCTGCCGGCCCCCACTGTGCCTGGAGGGCGACCTCCAGAGTGCCGCATGCTGCAAACGATACCCTTGCAGGTGAAGATACAGCCCCCCGAGCTGAAGGGCATGATGGACAAGAAGCTCAGCGGTGCGAGGTGGTGCCGCCACTTTTGCCGACGGAATCCGCCTCCGCCGCGTAGTTCGTGTTTGCTGCTTTGCTGCTGTAAGTCCCCCCTTTCTTGTCCACGTCCACTGCCGCAGTCAAGCTGAACGCCAACCGGCACGTCACGGGCGTGCTGCGCGGCTTTGACCAGTTCATGAACATTGTGCTGGACAGTACGGTCGACGAGAAGCTCAAGGCAGACTTGGGCATGGTGGTGCGTCCTCCTATGCCACGGGCTGTCAGTTGCCGGCAGGCGACTGTCACTTGCTTTCAGCATGTCAGCAGTGCTACTGAGCGCCAACCCCCTATTTGATGGATGGATGCCTGGTGCTGCCCGTTGTGCAGGTCATCCGCGGTAACAGCATCATCACAATAGAGGCGCTGGAGCGCGTGGACCGGCCCATGTGATCAGGAGCAATATTGAGGTGCCATCAAGCCACAGCAAGCATGCAACTTTAACCAGTCGTGCTGTATGCCCGCTGTGTAACTGCTGGACGCTTGCTGGCTTGCGACTTTGGCCTCGCCGATGAGCCTGCCAGACCAGCTTGGTTCTAATGGGTGCGAGCAAGCAAAGAAACACACACAGCGGCAAGAGCATGGCCCTCCCTTGAATGTTAATCTCCACTAGCATGCAGGCACCGCGATTTGAAATCAACCGATAGATGCACTCTGCGCTGCCGCCGCGGTGCCAAAGGCCCGCAGCGCAGAGAGTCGGGGCCCCGCCTGCAGCCGTCTCCGATCCCAGAGCGCCCCCCCAAGCGAGGGTGAGCGCTGCTGGCCGGCTGCAAGCCGGGCTGGGCGCGTTTTACCCAATCACTGCTTGCTGAGCTTAAGCCTGGCCAGCTCCGCCCTTCTCGCGCACAATAGCACCATCAGGTATGGCGTTGTGTTGCTTCAGAACCTGCAATTTCCAGTGGGAATGGGTGAACAAATCAGCAAACTCAGAAAAGCAAAAAAAAGGCAAAAAAAATCATATGAGTAGACATCAGCAGGGATTCGCTCACTCAGCGCAGGCCGCTCGGCGCGGCAGGCATGCACCGCATGTGCAACCAAAGAGGCAAGGCACGCAGGGGCTGTCACTCACCGACACCGCCTCCTCCACCTTGGCATCAAGGGCAGTTGGATCCTCCAGCAGCAGCAGGAGCTCTGCAGCAGGGTACAGCTCAAAGTTGGGGGGATGACTTAAATTGCAACCGTGAATGGACTGGCGTGCGGTTTTGCAAAATGGGACCCAACCGCAAAACAGCAACCACCTGAGTTGTCCATCTCGAGGAGCATGCCAGTAATCTTGCCGGCCAGGTCGGGCTGCAGGTAAAAGTGGGGCAGAGATTGAACAGCGCAGACGGGAACCACGAAAGCAATGCAGTGAGTCGCACGAGCCTTGACAGTTGATGCACCACGCGCACCTGCACGTTGGCGACCAGCGGGAACAGGCGCTCGCCCAGCAGCTGCTTCTGTTGCTCAGCTGGAGCCGCCGCAAGCATGGCAGCGGTGAGCTGGCCACCCTCGGTCGGCGTCACAGCAGCGGCAGGTGCCGCTGGCGCTCCGACAGGTGGTGCCGGGATGCCCTCCCCGCGCCCACGGCCACCACGCCCACTGGCAGGGCCGCGGCCACGGCCCATGAACTCGCCGCGGCCGCCACGGCCACCACGGCCGCCACGCCCAGAGCGTGCACCACCGGGACCCATCATCTGCAGGAACCAAAAACATTATGAGTCATGAGGTACCACAGCCAGGGCAGTAACGCGGAACAAAGCAAGGCATGCTTGCCTGCGGGGGCATCATCATGCCGCGGGGGCCACGCCCCGGCATGCCGCGGCCGGGGCCGGCCATCATGTATGGGTTCATCATGCCTGCACCCAGGACAAGACACAGTGACCCTGACAGCGCATGCAACGATAAACAGCGAGGTGAGCCTTTAGCATGTGATAAGGTGGAGTTTCGCACTCACCGGGACCCATGGGGCCACGCGGCCCGGGCGGGTAGAACATGGGCGGGGCGCCACCTGTAAGAATCGCATCACAAACCAGGTATCAGACGCACGGGGAAGGAACACATGCAGGGCACAATAACTGCCACCCACTGTTGGTAGCACCTGGTGGGAACATGCCAGGGGCCATGGGGCCGCGGGGGCCGGGCGGCATGGCTACTCGCTGCTGGTACTGCTGCTCCAGCTGGGCACGGCGCACGTCACGGCGCTGCACGAGGCAAGCAGAAGTGCACAGCGTCAGTGCAGGCCAGCAAAACACGGAGCACTGTTGCACACATCCAGCCCAAGGATGCCGTTGCTCCTGGAGAATACCTGCGCCAGCGCGACGTAGATGGGCTTGCCCTTGATCATGCGCCCGTTCATCTCGGTCACGGCGCGGGTGGCCTCCTCGGGGCTGGCGTAGCACACAAAGCCAAAGCCACGGCTCTTGCCCGCACTGTCCACCATGACCTTTGCGGAGGTGATGGTGCCAAACTGCAAGTGGGATGCAAGGTGCACATTTGCAGGCATTGCCGTGCAGAATCCTAAATTTCAGTGGCCAGATGCTAGAGATTCTCTCACCCCTCACCTGGGAGAACTCAGTGCGCAGCGTCTCATCGTCAATGTCATCATGCAGGTTCTTGACGTACAGGTTCATGCCTTGGTACTTGGCGATGCGCTCTGATCGAAGCTCCTCAAACCTGTGAAACAGAAGAAAAACACGATACAATTGTGCGCTAACTAGGCAGCCAGCCAGTCGAGGATTGACCCCCAGCATGTTGCCCGCCAACTCACTTGGCACGCAGCATGGCCTCACGCTCCGCCTTCTTCTGGGCGCGACCCACGTACAGCTCCTTGCAATTCACGTCCTTCCCTGCATGCAAGGCAGATGTTTTAGTACATCTAGATTCTGTGAGACCCCTTCTCTGAAGGGCACAATGTGATGCCCCCCTCTCAAACGCCACCCACCATTCAGGGCCTGCACCGCTGAGGCCGCCTGCTCGGGTTCCTCGAAGTTGATAAAGCCAAAGCCCTGCAGTTGGGGGGGTGGGGGGGACAACACAAGGCGGACATGCATCACATAACATGAAGGGCCCATCCATCAGCAAGGGCAGAGATGGCGCACCTTGCTCTTGCCCTCGTCGTCCCGCATGATGATGCACGAGTTGACGGTGCCGTGCTCCGCAAACATGGCCTTTACCTCATCATCGCTCACGGCTGCAGACGGGGGGGCAGGGAAACCCGATCGACCATGCAGCAATGCATGGCCAGCGACAGAGTTGCTTACAAGGTACAGCGAGCAGACGACTTACCCTCATCCAAATTCTTCACAAACACATTTGTGAACTTGACCTCGGAATCGCTGGAGCGCTCAGAGCGGCGCAGGAAAGGCCCCACATAAACTTTCTTGCCCTCCAGCAGCATGCCATTCACCTGTGGGGGGTGGGAACACACTCGAACGCTGAGTTGATGCTACCTGCATGCACTCCTTCCACCGGCATCTCGTATCGCAACCGTGCTGCTTCCCACCTTCTCAATGGCCAGGCGTGCCGATTCATCCTTCTCAAAATGCACAAACCCATAGCCCTTGCTCTCGCCCTTGAGATCCTGGGCCACCTTGCAGCTGCAGGTTGGCAGGAAGAGCGAGGCAGGAAGCATTCAAGTGAGCAAAGGTACTCCAAAGACAGAGACAGCAGTCGGTCAAATTGGCCACAACAAGTCTGCCGCACCTCAGGATGTTGCCAAAGGCGGAGAAGGTGTCGTGGAGCGCTTTGTTGTCCACCGACCTGTCCAGGTTCTTGATGAAGATGTTGCCGACCCCTACATGAGCAGACAACCAAGCAGTACAGCAGTGCGTTGCCGGGCGGGTTCTTGGTTTTTGGACACAAGGCAGCACCACCCCATTGCCAAGAGCCCCAGCAGCTCCAAGCCCTAACAAGCTGCCCCACCCGACTTGCGGAAGGCAGGGTCGCGGTGGCTCCACATGATGCGCATCGGGCGGCCAACCAGCGGGGTGTAGTTGAGCTGCAGCGCATGGCAGAGAAGTGCGCTTAGCCATCTTAAGCACAGCAGAATCGAAAAAACGCATGCTCCACACGACACTGTCTCACCTGATCCAGCGCACGTTCGGCAGCCGCCGGGTCCAGCACACTGTTGTAGTTCACGTACGCATAGCCCAGGGAGCGGCGGGTGACGGCATCACGGCAAACGCGAATGGAGGCCACCGGGCCGATCTGTGAGAGTTAGTGGGGGGGCATCGAGAAACAGTTGGGAGATTGCAGCTGCAGCAAGGTCGCATCGCGTCCAGGCAGCACTTCCTACCTGCGAGAAGACCTCGAACAACTGGGCCTCGGTGACATCGCGATCCAGGTCGCCGACATACAGGCTGGAGTTGTGGGTGGCAGCAGCAGCGGTGCCGGCGCCAGGGGCAGCCGCTGCAAAGGATGCAGAGAGAGCAGCACTGCTGGTCGAGTACACGGGAAGATGCTGCGAACCAAGATGTCAGGCGGCAAACAGGTAGGACAGCTGCAAAGCGATTGGTCTGCCTGACAGCCTCTGCAGGTGGGTCCCAGTTTCCCTCTCCAGGTTTAATCTCCATAGCTTAAGCTGCCGAAAGTCATGCATGCATGCTACTGCTTGCCACCTGCTGTTGGTGCCCGCATTGTTCGCCACGAAAATGGCAACCAGCCCCATAGAGCAATAGACAGCTCGGCAAACGCGTCTGTGTGCTGCCAATGCTGCTGCTATCGCCAGTGCTCATATCACACAAAAGGAGTGCACGACATGCAAAAAGAAGACGGCAGTATTGGCCACCACTCACCAGTGGGGGCGGGCGGGGTGCCAGCAGCGACAGCCTCGACGGGAGTAGCGACAGTGGGGGAAGCCATGATTCCTGCTTTTGATTATGCGTCCTGCAACAGGAAGCACAGAAAGTGCGTGATGCTGCAGCGCCCCAGACCGGGCGCCGCCGCCAGACCGGACGCTGCCGCTGGGCGGTGGCCATGCCATGCTGCACCCCAGCGGGCTGGGTTCGCTGCTTTGGCGCGGCAGGTGCTCTGCAGTACTAGTTGCGCCCCGGGGAACTCCTCCAGCACTCGCGAAGAGACTGCATGCCTAGGCCATGGCGTGCCGCACCGCCAGCCCGGGCTGGCGTTTCCCAGGCCTCTCATCAAATTGAAGCATGAAGCCGTGCGCTGAGGGCCTCGCACGCTTACCTCGGGGCAGATGCGTCGAGTCTCTGTTGTTGAAGTTGTATTTTTTTGCCAGAGCCGCTGAAGCTGGAGGGCTTAAGCGTTCCCTGTTTTTTTTAACACCCGTGGATGCTTGCAGCAGCGGGAGAGCGCTGTGCAACAACCAACAGGCGTGCAGTGTGCCAAAGCACGGTATGGGAGCTGGGGAAGCCGGTGAGAGAGAGCGAGGCAGTCTGCAGGCGGCTGAGTTGAGGCGGCCGGGGTGGAAAGACGCGGTGCGTCTCTCGCGAAATCTCGACCGGCGCGTTTCTCGCTGCCCACTCAGAGTCTGTTCTTTTTGTCAGCGGCACGTGGGCATGAGCTAGTCGGGGTGGCTGCCGAGGCGGCGAAGCACATGCCGCCCCGCATTGACATCACCGCGTGTGAGTGCCTTTGGTCACAACCACGCAGCTCAAGCAGCAAGGCTCCCCCACCAGCAATTTACACTAAAGTTTTCACAGCTGGGCTGTCATGGATGCTGCATTTGCATTGGCGGCGGCACCATCATGCTCACGGATCTCTCCATTCCATGCTGCTCTGGCTGCTGCTGGAACAAGCCTGGACCATGCTGCCAGGGCGCTGGCATGAACGCCATGCTGGATAGCGGCGGCCCTGCCACGAAGTCAGCAGATGCCGCATAGTATGTGGTACCACCCAATTGGTAGCTGGACGTTAGGCGCTGCCCACAAGCCACTGCGCATGTGACACAACATCTGGCATGCCCATAAGCAGCATGCCGGCCAAAGAGCCACGTGGTCCATCCATGATTTCCAGCTGCATTCTACAGCCCGTCATCTGCAGGGTGGAGCACGACTCTAAGAATTGGGAGATGGCACGGATCAGGCAGCTACGCACTATGCATCTCACACACCTGCTCAACCGTCGCCACTGCCTTGCTGAGCAGCTTGGAGAAGACAAGGCCCAGTGCCGCTGCCACCTGCTTCAGCCGGCCCGTCACTAGCAGCGTGCGCTCCATTGTGCCCGGGAAGTACTCATTGGCCTTGAACAGCTGGATGCGCGCAAAAGTCCTGGCCTGCACATCATTGATGTTGCCGCCCCCCTGCACAGGGTGCGGTCCCAGGGACGCGGGTGGCAAATAAAGCTTGTGTGACAAGCAGCAGACCTGTTTGGTGGCTTGGATGCACGAAGGGATGGTTGACTATGATATCAATACGTAAGCCCCATTCCAGCAGGCCACCACCATGTGCATACCCGTTGCGGCTGCAGAGCAGGAGACAGCTGCAAGAGGCTTTTCCACTTGCCTACCAGGCAGAAGGCTTGGCAGAAGGCTTCGAACTCAGCGGCAGGCTGCGCAGCTGCCAGCAAAGCCTCCAGCAAATATGGATGGCAGAGCACATGGAGATGGTGGCCGCGGAGCAATGCCAGATCATGCGGGCGCAGGCAAGGAGGCGGCACTGCAGGAGATAGAGGAGGGCATTGTGCCGTTTTCTAGCAATGGGAGGAGGACGCAATTGAGATGGGATTGAGGTGGCTCCAATTATCTTCGCAAGCCTTCGTAGATACAGCCACACAGGAGCGGCACCGGACAAAGTCGCCCGGTCGCTGCCTTTGCCCTCGCTCATGCCCCAACTCTTATCCCCAACTATTTGAGTACTCATCTTGCTGCCCACCGTGGCCTATCGCCGTGGCGTCGAAACCTGTGGCGTCCCGGTCCATGTACCGCCAGCGTCCTGCGACAGCCGGCGCATTCAAATCCGCTTAAATTTCAGATCGCCCGGGCAGCTGCTTCGAGCTACTCGTCGGCGTTGGGAGTCGGTTCAACCATCGAGATGCACGCTCTCGCCCCATTCGATGGGTGACGCTCTCTCAAAGCCAGCGAATGAGGGCCTCGGCCCCTCTGACGAGGTCGGTGCAGTGTTGGCGCTGAGGCCGGGTATTATTGGCACCAAGCGCAAGGCAGCAGAGGATGCTGCAGGGGAGGTTGCCGTCAAGCGGCAGCAGCTGCTGGGGCTGACCATGTTCACGCTGGCAACTCTGCGGGTCAGTGGCCCATCAATGCTGCTCTCAGCAACATCCCCTTCTCGCCAGATGCAAGCAGGTCTGCTGCAGTGATTGGCCCTGTTGAGGCTGTTTTTCTGCAGGGAATGGCACCGTTTGTGCAGGCACCCCAAGCTGGGGCTGACGCTCTGGGAATGGAGCAGTATGTCCAACTGTCCCGCCCGAAGGAAGGAAATCAGCCGGAGGGGTGGAGTGCGATTAGGGCATTGTGCGAGAGAGGCTGTGATGTGGGAATGGAGCACACAGAGCAGCCGCAGCCACAGCAGGAGATTGCGGATGCAGCAGAATGCAAGCAAACAATTGGCAGCGCGGCGCCTGCCTACTGCTACAAGGCGTGCCCAACGGATGCCACTTCGGGGTTGGACCCTGAGATCAGCTCGCAGAAACCGGCAGCAACCCCAGCATGCGAGACGGACAAGGCAGCAGCAGCAGCAGGCCTCTCACAGCAGCAGCAGTTGGATGACGCAACAGCAGCTCCAGAGTGCTCCAGCATACTGCTTGCGCCAGTGTCTGCAAAGCCGATCAGCCGTGCACAGCTGCGGCAGCAGCTGCGACTGCACAGCCACTGTTCTGCAGCTGCAGCAGAGCTCCCAATGGGACAGGCAGCGACCACACCGGCCAGTGCGACCACTCACACTACCCGCGGCCAACGCCTAGTTGGCCTGGCCCGTCGCCAGCAGCTGCATGGTAACGCAGCAGGGGCAGCAACTTCAGCAGTGGATCTTGCCAGGGTGGAGCTTGATGCCACACCACCAACCGAGAGTATGGCATTGCCAGATGAGCCAGGGAGCTTGGCAGCAGGTCGTATGCTGGCACAACGGCGCCTAACCCAGTCGCCATGCAGCCTGACCGGCCATGCAGCAGCAGACGGCAGTGCTTGCCTCGGTTCTGGAGCTGCAATTGATGTGGATGTGCAAAGGTCATTGGCTGTAGCTGGACAAATGATGGTGGCAGTCCAGCCTTGCAGCCCCCCCAAAACATCATCTGTCACAGGCAGCGGCCATAACAGTGTCCCGCGGTGGACAGCTAGAGTGCCTGAGCAGAAAAGCGGATCCTATTCACAGCAGGTGCACCTGGTGGCTGCAGCGGCGCCATATTGCTGCCCCCCCGACGTCGCGAGCCCGGCTCGTAAGCAGGGTGCAGACAACTTTCCCGGATTTTGGCGGCCTAACATCGGCAATGCTCAGCACCAGGTGGAGGCGATTGCAGCACTTGGGGCCAAGCAGGATAAGGGTCACAGGGTGAGAGATGTCTTTGTGAGTGCAGCTACAGCATCATCAGCAGACTGATTGCAGGCCCACTGTGCCCCGACTGGCCGCAGGTCCGCTTCAATGTGCCAGAGCCGGCTAAACCCCTGCCTGATGCAACCATGCCGAAGCAACCAGCTGAAACCATGCCCCTGGTAGCGACCCCTGCTGTGCTTCCTGCTGGCAATGGCGGTAAAAGTGGAAATTGCAGCATCACAGAAGCCAAGCCAGGCCGACGCATGCCGCAGCCCCCAGTCTACTCCCGTTTCGGGTGGGTAAAGCCTGCTTGCTGCTGAATTTAGAGAAATGTTTGATGCTGTAGTTGTGGCATGATTCACGCTCCTTGGCTTCTACTCTGCTGCGTGATGTGCAGGAATACTGCTTTCCACCGATCCTATCCTGGGCCCCAGGGGCGCCACCAGGACCCCATGTTGTTTATTTCAGAGGGCAGCATCTGCTGCGTTGTGCCACCGAGGCCGCCACAGGTATCAGGAGTACCTGTTGCCAACATGTTTTGTACAGTGTGCTTTGGCTTTGCCGCATGTGCTGGTATTTGTGACCGATATCCTTCTTCTGCCATCGTTGCTGCAGCATCGCGCAGCATTTGGGACCCACAAGCTGCGTGGCATATTGAAACATACGAGCAGCCTGAACGAGGAGCAAGTTGCAGTGGCTGCTGATGGAGCCGCCAGCGCTATGCTCAATGCACCAGAAAGCTGGCTGCCCGAGCAGCAGCACCATGCGGTAGCCACAGAGATGGAGCTCAGTTGCCCTGGCAAAGTTTTCTCGGCAGTCATTGCGTCTCCAACGGCCCTTGCAGCATCGTCGCAAGCAGCAGCGGCAGGGGCTGCCGCATCCAGGCCTTGGCTAGCAGACACAGCCGCGCCAGCTCATGATGCAGCAGCCTCGGCCGATGAGCAAGCACTGCTCAGCCTGAGGCCTCGTGATTTGATGCGGGGTGCACAGTTTCAATCAGCGGGCAAGGTGCAGCAGCTGCTTGCCAGTGTGGCATCCGCCAAGGCTGGATCTTCACCCTGTGCTGCACCCAATAAGCTGTTTTGCACCAGTGGTCGCATGTCACGCGGCGAGCGGCTCCTGGCATCGCTGCGGAATTGCGGCAGCAGCAGCGGGGCACAAGCAAGGCCCAGCACGGGCGCCCTGAATTAGTGCTCAACTGACAGAGATCATGCTGGGCTGATGTGAGTTTGACTGTCCCCGCGGCGTCCAGGGGAAAGCCTGCTGTAAATCATTTACAAAATGTCCCCTACGGCGCTGGCGCCACGTGTGCAGACGGCTTGCCACGACGGCCTGTGTGGCACCATCTGCTTTCGCCATTACACGGGGCCGACTGTGTCAACAACAGCTATGCCAGCCGAGCGGTTTCACGTGCGGCTGCTTGCCGAGGAGGGGGGCCACGAGCGGGTGGTGGTGGAGGTCGGGCTGGAGGGGTTCAACATCCTGGACGCCGCGGGAAGCCGCGCCCTGCGCAAGTACCCGCTGCACCACATCAGCCGCTGGTCCATGCGCGGCAACAGCCTCGTCTTGTTCACCCGCAGCCCGGTGAGGACAGCCGAGATAGTGAGCCGACGGCCCTGCCGGTTATGGCCTGGCGCGCCGCCCGCCCGCCTGGCCGGCGGCTCTACCGTGTCCAAACTGCCCTGCAGTCGGATGTGGAGGATCAATCGCTGACGCTGGAGAGTGACGAGACCACCATCCGCTCGGTGCTCGACACGCTCACCTGCTCCTGCATGCAGTGAGTATGCCCAACCACCGCATTCGTCTTCCGCCCTTACTCCACCTTTTGTTCCATGTGGCTCCCCTTGTTGCCCTGTTGTACCCCGCAGGATGGCCGAAATGCTGCAGAGTGGGCAGGGCCCTGAAGGTGCTGGCCGGGTGGCTGCAAACTCCCTCAAAGCATTGCTGAAGAAGAGCAAGAAGCACGCGGTGTGCACTGCTCTTCGTGCCAAATCGCCTGCTGCAATTTCCCATTGCCATCTGAGCAGGGCTGCTTGCTTGATTGCCTCCTCCGCCATCCCAACCACGCCTTCCAATGTGCCCGCCCACAGCTCTTGACGGCAGACCAGGTGGAGTTTTGGCACCACCCTGAGAAAGCGGGGTGGATGCACAGCCAGGGAGAGCACATCAAGACCTGGCGCAAGCGCTGGTTTGTGCTGAAGCAGGTGCAACATTGGTGGCCATGCAATTGCACGGAGGCATAAACTCTTGCTCTGACACACACAGTACTGCAATTCTGGATGGGTGCTTGATGGTGCCTCTTCTTCATCTTAACTGCAGGGCTTCCTCTTCCGCTTTGCTGCCAGCGACGTGGGTGCCGCCTCCAAGCCCCGTGGCATCGTGGACCTGTCCACTGTCACTGACGTGGCAGATGGCAGTGCTGCCACCGGCCGCCCCAACTCCATCAAGCTGTCCACCGCCACCGGGCACATCTGCTACTTGTGCGAGAGCGAGACGTCGCAGGTGGACAGGCCACCACAGCACCATCACCCTGAGCTTCACATGTTGCATGGGCAATTGCCATGGAGGTGGGGTGGTCTGTACTCTAGGTTTTCCCTGCGGCCATCCCCTGAACTGACGCTGCGCTCTGCTGGATTTGGCTCACAGGTGGAGTGGTACAGTGCGCTGGAGGGTGCAGTTGCCAAGATCATCAAGCTAGTGGCGGGCGTCGATGAGGAGCAGGGCGAGGGTGGCGGCAGTGGCGGTAGTGGTAAAGTTAAGAGCTGGGCGGAGGAACTGGAGCGCACGTATGCATCTGCGGGTGCGTCGGTGGTGCGAGCTGAGGGTGGTAGTCACGATGGTCCCCTTTGCCCCCCAGGCTGTGGCTGTCGTATGCATGTTTAAAGTTTGCCTGCTTCCCTGCCGCCAATCAAGCATGAGCACCTTCCTTCCTGCTCGCTGCTCGCAGGTTCAGCATCTGGCTCACGCTTGGGTGGCAACAGCAGTGGCGGGGGCACTGCCAGGTCGCAGATGGTCAGCATCGTCAACTATGAGACACCTGGAACAGGAACAGGCGCGGCGGGCGAGACATCCGCACTGCACAGCAGCAGCCGTGGGCGCAACACAGACTATGTGACCGTTGATTATGGCAGTATTGCGGGTGAGGATTGCAGGGTGGGGCCATGTTTTGCACGGCCTGCGGGGCAACATTGCGGCCCCAGCATCGAACTTGGCTGTGGACTTTGGCAGAGTGTCCAAAGCCAGATGTGTTTCCACCATTAAACATGTGCAGGGGCAAATGCTATGCCAGAAGGCGGTCCCGTGGGAGGCTATAGCAGCAGCTATGCTGGGGTGCCTGAGCCTGCTGCCGCTGGTGCCGGCTACATCAACTACGGCCAGCAGCCGCACCAGGCAGAAGGGCAGCACCCGCATCAGCAGGCTTACGTCTTTTCACAGGATCAGGCTGTGGGCGACTATAGCATGAGGCGAAATCTCATGGATACAGTGACGGCACCCCAGGTGGGAGGCCGATCAAATAGTGCTGTTGGTTTGATGAGCTATGGCACGAGTTTGTCTGGCATCTGTTCGTGCCCAATGTTTGCAGGCTGCGCAGCAGGCGCCCAATGGCAGCCCATGGAAGGTGCACTACACAGGTGAAAGCAGCTGGGTGCTGTTGCATGCAGGCTGAGCAGCAACCTGCTCCATTCAGCGCTGCTCATGCTGTCTGCCCTTAATCGTTTGCCGTCTGCTGCAGCTGAGGGTCGCCCATACTTCTACAATGTTGCAACTGGCACCACCCAGTGGAACGCCCCAACGTAACCTCGCACAACTCACAATTTCTAGTGTGCCCCTGACTGGAGCAGGGCTGCATGGCTATCCTCTGCGCTCGCATACCATTGCTGTGTGCATTCTTTGCGAGCAGCGTTTGTAAAGTTGCTCAGAAGGGAAGCATAAAGGCCATTGTACATGCTGCTCCTCCACATGATATCCAGGCCACATGCTGTGCGGTGGTGCTGGCGGCTCACTTCTGCGGCACGGGCTCTAGGTCTGGCAGATCGTCATCCGACTCTCCACCCTTCTGGGCCCCGCCCTCTGCAACAGGGGTTTCATTTCAGGATTGGTGGTAAGGCCATGCTGACCACCCACGTTGCCGGAGCCAGTCTGGGCGATTACTGGGGCAGCACAGACGTGCATGAACAGGCATGCACAAATGAGCGCTCTGGTAGGCAGGAGTATACAGCAACAGCGTGGCAGCAGGTGCACACCCTCATCATCCGACATGTCTGCCCCAAAGCCGCCGCCCATGCCACCCATGCCTGCAAGTGAAGGCAGCGAGAACAGCATGTGAGAGGGCCGCTAAACCAGAGCTTGCTCCATTTTATGAGGACAGAACAGAGCAGAGGCCATAGGCGGCTGGCAGCTACCTTTGAGCATGTCTTCCATGCCGCCCATGCCACCTGCAGGTTCAGCGGCCAAGTGGTTGAACCATGTCGCCACAATACCTAAGTGCTGCTTTATCAGGTCACTTTCATGCAAAACATCAATTGACAAATTCACCTCCGCCCATGTTTTGGAAGTTTTGGAGCGCCGACAGGTCCAAGCCACCCATCTTGTCCGCGCCCTCCTCCTCCTCCTCATCTTCGTCAACCCACTTGTCCCAGTCCACCTGCGACCAAGCCACAGCTCGGCTGGTATAGCGGGAGTTGGACGAGCAGGACAAAACAAGAGGATCCAATCGCTGCGACTAATTCGCTAAGGCCTTGCCTTGACATTCGGCGCCGGCTTGCCCGCCGCCTTGAGCAGACGTGGCCAGTGCTCGTGCGGGCCTTTCTTGGCAATCACCAGCGTGATGAAGCGCTCCGTGGTGTCCTGCGGGAGCGGAGTGGTTGTGGGAAGTTGGGAAGGGAATGGACCACAGGCATCGAGTGCTCCCAAAGAGTGCCCCCCACCCGACATACCTGCTTAATGTCCTTGTCATCCACCTCGCTATAAAACTCCAGGTCTAGCTGATAGTCGTGCTCCTCGGGTCCTGCAGCATGACGAATAGGCAGGGCATGTAGGCAGGCCAGCAGCGCAATGCGTGTCCTGTGTTCCAGGCGCACCCGTGGCATGGCTGTGTGCGTGGCCGCGGAAGGTCAGCTTGCCAGCCTTTGCAGCTCCATCGTTGCTGATGCTGCGGCAAGGAAGAGAAGGATTCAGGCAGGGCAGCGAGTGAGCTGCAAAACCGACCAAGCGGCGGGCGACCGCGGGCGGCGGCACTTTGTGGCGGCACGGACCTGATCTCGGGGTCCACGCATTGTTGCAGATCGATCGTCAGCAGCAGCCGGTCGGCTCGCTGCGCCCATAGCACCATCGGCTGCATGGCGATTCCAGAAGGCACGCAAGAGTGTAGTCGCAGGAGGGTGAGGAGGAGCCGCCGGATGAGAAGCAGATCGTCTTGTGCCGAAGGAGAAAGAAAGACGAAGGAGAAGGCAAGGGGACCCTGTCTGCGCGACAAGGCTGACGTGTACCCTGTCGTGTGAACACATCACCAGCCTGGGTAAACGCCAACCAATTCCTGCCAACCACCAAATTTGCAGGCACAGTGATGAAGATGAAAGAGGATGACATTTCCGATGGAGGGCTCAAACAACTAAAAACGTAGAACCTGGCTTTACACTATTAGCCGCTTGAACCGTGACATTATCACTAGTCCGTGGCGGTATGGAAAATCTGGGGTATGGACAAAAAATGGTGGGTGCAGCATGAAGGATTCCCACCCCATGTCATGGAAGAAGTTAACCATTTCTCGCTCTGCTTTCTGCAGCAATTTGCAACAAGTTTGCTGTTCAGCAAAGGAGTCTTTTCTGTTTTGTAACACAGGCAAGCGTATTGTTGGCGTCAACTACTTACTTGGTGCACCCAGCCCTGTGCTGTTTCGTATGCCCAGTCGACTTGCTTTTCTGGGTGTGTGTTAGTGTCATGCAGCGCCAAGATGGTATCATTGGTTATGAGGCTGGCATTAGCCAAGATGTGGTACCTACGTATGAGATGGGGGGCATGCTCAAGTAGATTGAATTCTGCACACACACAGAGCATGCAATCGAAGAAAACCATGCTTCATTTACATATTCATCTGCACATCAACAACGTGGCAGTCGAAGAACACCATGTCCAAAGCCTTGTTGTCAACATCGTCGGGGACAAGAAGCGCGGCATCCTTGTGAATAAATTTATGTCGCACGGGGTCCATGGATGGCACTTCATTGATATCTACTGTGTATCTGCATTATGGGTCCAGCCGGTGGGCACGTCAAACAGCAGCTGTGCATACGTAGCAGCTGTGCATACAATCATACATTGTGCCATTAGTTGGGGTCATTGCTTGAAGAAAGTTTTTAGTCGAGTAACCAGAAAGACCACCAATCTCCAGCACCCTCGACATGCGCATCCCACGGACAACTGCATACAGGAGGAGTGCTTCATCATCCTGCATCAACAAAGCCAGTTGGTTGGCACCCGATAGAAACTAAGCACAGAGTACAATGGGCAGCAAGCATTCACCAAGATAATACCTGAATGGGACCAGACACCTGCTGGGATGATGCCTGATTGAGATGACTAAGGTCATACTTTCTGCCCAAATCGCATCCACCCGCCTCGACCGCTAAGCAGGCAGGACAGGGAGGAGCGCTAGTAGCGACAGATGGTGTATTGAGGACAGATGTCGCGACAGATGTTGCATTGAGGACAGATGTGGCATTAAGGCAGAAAGAGGGATCAAATTTGGTCATGACGATGTGGTTGGTGCGATGAGAGCTCCAGCCCACGAAGGCCACGAGTAGCAGCAGCAGAAGATGGGGCACGTAGCCCCCCATCTCGAACCTGCGCGGAAACAATTGAACGAAAGGCTCAAGGAGCAAAGGTCGCCAGGAACTTTAACGGTTAAAAGGCACACCTGCTTTGCGTTGCTAAGCTCGCCATCTATCCGTGCTCCTGCTTGCAATGTCCATTGCCGCAGACCCTCGAAAAACGCTGCCCTCGTACCGCCGCGGGTTGCACTGCATGCAGTGAGATGCAGCGCTGCATCTCGCGCCGCAACCAAGTCGAGCTTGACCTCCGGTCTCGGTTCCAATGGTCAAGTTCGCTAGCAACGCAGGTAGAGCCCTTACTGCAGAATCTGCACAATTTGCGGCGTCATGTATCAGCCACCTTCTGCTTGCAGGCTTTAGTACGGCAGGTGCCAGGGCCTCCATAGTGTTTGGCAGCCTGCTCGGTATGGCGCTGTTGCTGGTGGCAAGTAAGCAAAGAGCGTCTGGCGCCGCGTTCTTGTCGTGCATATCGTCAGCTCCACCACTCGCAAAGGAGCCCGCTCCCGATGCTCCATCCCAGAGCCCTCTCTTCAAGCAAATTGACCTGGATCTGGCACCATTTCAAGGTATACATCCTACCATCCTGCCTTGTGTGCAAACAAAAAACAACAAACAAACAAACAAACACCTACCTAGCTGCCCTACCATGCCGGGCACCTAGTCGGTTGCCGTGTTTTATTGCGTTTTGTGCAGATGGCATCACGCTGCAGATGGTGGAGCAGACTTATTGTTCTGCCACTGATCATGGGTTTAGGGTACAGGCAGGTTGCGCAATTCTGGGGACAGGTTTCCCATCAAGGAATTAGTAGCTGGCTGGCAATACCTGTCTATTCATGTGATGCAGGCCATGAACGGCCGTCTTTTTGTTGGGGGATACCAGGAGGGCTTTGAAAGCCGGCTATTAAACGTCCTGCGAATGCTGTTGGCTGTTGCTAGAAAATTCCCCCTGCCTGATGTGGATGTTGTGATTCAACAGGCATGCATACAAGCAGGAGAACTGTATGTAATGCCTCTTCAATACAGTCGAATTGTTACGCCGTTGGAAGCATTACACTTGATGTATCTTTCCTGCAGTGGGATGCGCCAGCTGTAACGAGGACCAGTGATGCGTGTCCACGGCGTGGACCACTTATCGGCATGGCGAAGCAACACATTGAGGAGCATGCCCATGTGTTGCTTGCTCCAGATCACACTTTTGCTAATTGGCTTGAGGCACGGACACTCGCTTGGGAGGAGCACCTTCAGGTCAGCTTCATGTCCTCCATTGTTGCTTTATGTATTCTGTTGCAACATCTAATGCCAATGATTGTTGTAGATGGCCGACACTAGTCAGTCTGAGTATCCCTGGGAGCAGCGCACACCTTCCCTTTTTTTCAGGTTAAAAGCACTGTGGTGTAACTAGCGGGACGTGCAACGCCATAATTTATATTCTCTTTGTGTTTTGCATACAGGGGAAATGCAAACACTCGCCTTCGAAACGCTATCCAAGCACAGGTGGCCAAGTGGCAAGAGGAACACAGTAGACCAGGTGAGAAGGGATATCGTGAGCAGTGAAGGCCGATAATCGTTTCATGGAGAGGGAGGATTGCAATGTGGTATATAACCTGGTCTAGATTTGTCTACCGCAGGCGGACTTGGCTACCTATTTCATAATTTTTTGGGATGCCCGCTTTCAGGGGGCCCAACAGTTTAAAACCTGTTGGGAGCACCATGCGTTCAAGGTGAGGTGCCGCTCTGTCTATCTCTATTGTAGTGTTAATAATTACAGTTCAAGGTCATCAGTTGTTGTGTATGGTCATCTATTGTTGTGTATGGGCTGCAGTACCTTTTGCACATTCCAGGCAACACGTAAGCTCAAGTTGCACAAGTTGGTCGAAAGGTTAGGAACACAAGCCCTACATTTTGATTCCATGTTTTGTGCAGGTACAGTGGGCGGTTGAAATACTTGTTGGCCGCTGGATCCACGGTTCTTGTGTACAATGATGAGGGTAAACCGTGGTTGGAGTTTTGGTATCATATGCTTCAGGTTGGGCGGATGTTTTCTTTGTTTGAATCCCTCCTCTCTTGCGGCCACCACTTTCCCGTCGCAGTCCTTGCTGCAGAATGGTACAAACTTGATAGAGATTCAAGCACCAGTAAATAGCTCAGCCCAGACGCTGGCGTCATGGGTGCAATGGCTCCGCGATCATGACAAAGATGCTGAAGCAATAGCAACAGCTGGACGCCGTCTAATGCAAGAACATCTGACGGCCGACAAGATTAAAGAGTAGGTTACTGCGCACTTGTGATGCATTGTGATCGTGGTGGTGGGCTGACGCCTTGCCGTTGTCCCTGATGAATCTGCAGATACTGGTATCGTCTGCTTGTCGAGTACAGCGCACTGCAGACATTCAATGTGACGGTGCGCTGCAGGGGAAGGAGGCGATTAGCAAACACTATGTCACCAAAACCTTGTTTGCACCGCCCTGCCGCAGCGTCATCTGATGCAATACCAATTGAGCAGGTTGTGCTCAGTAGACAAAATCAACAAAGAACGTGCACCATATGTCCCCGGATGTGATCGATTGTTTTTGTCAAGGCTGCTTTTTCAAAGACTGCTTTGAGTATGTGAGACCAGTCCCTCCCTGTGCATCATCAGCGCATGCTTGATTTCCTCCTTGACCTGTGCGCAGTAGGCGGCATCATGCCACACCTCACATTTTCAAGAAATGCTAGATGGGTGGCCCACCTATAAGAGTGCTGCCTCCTTGCATCGTCCTCGTCATCGCTGAACGGCAGCCCAATGCGCTGCTTGTCGGGGGCGACAGACAAGGGCAGCGCACAAGGGCTGCTCTGACTGCAGCCGCTGTTGGCCGCCAGTTCTGCACTACCTGTATTTCAACCCGGGAGGTGTACGAGTTTGTGGACGGCTACCGCATCTGCATCACCTGCCGTGCCCGCAGTCAACAGAGCTCCCGGCAGGTGCGCAGGCTGGGGTGGCTGCAGGAAGGGTAGAGCTTGACGTTTGCCCATTACTTTAACACTCTACAACATGCTGCATCCGGTGCTGCTCGCTGTTGCCGCACTGCTGGTTTGTGCTGGGCAGCGAGTGCCAAGCACAGTGCTGGCCAATGCGGAAGAGCTCCAGACTTACCTGGCCAAAGAGGAGCTAGCGGCTGGTGTTGATTCTGCTGAATAGAACTGCAACCCGAAGCACATGGACCCGCTCATGGCTGCGTGGTCTCCGCAACTCTGCCAGCAGGCCAGCACCGAACGTGTGTTGCCTGCGCCCGTTGCAGTAGCACCTGGGCGTCGCCCGCAGCTTTGTTGGCGTGCTCTGTGGCCGCCCAGGCCCCGGCGCCCGCGGCAAAGCCACCGCCTCCAGTGCTGCCACCTCCTGCTAAGGCGCGGGCTCAAGCGCAAGTCCTCCAACTAGGTTCCTGATGCTCTGGGCAGGTGGCACTTTCTGCCCAAATGTAGGCATTCACAGTTGTCCCCCCTTGAGCCCGCGCCATTTGTTTGGCCGCACAAA